GTGCTACTATTGGAGAAAGTGGAGAGGAAGGGGGAAAATGTGCACTAGTAGCAGGAGAAAGGGTGGACTGCTCCCTGAAGAATTCTGGCTCTCCTCTACTATCTTCTCCTCACTCTCAGGCTTGTAGTCATCTCTTCATCAGCCAGCCTAATGCAATCCATGCAAGGCCGGGGGTAAGACTGATATCACCTCCAGGAAAAATAGGACTAGGAGCAAGGGGTAGCATTGGCAATGGCAACAACTCCTGTGCTCATGTGCCGCTGTCAGTGGTAGAAGCAGGCGCAGCACTGCTGGTGGTAGAAGTGGTGGTCTTGGGAGGGGAATTAGGAAACAGCCTCCGTGTACATGAAGGAATCTTCTTCGCAACACGACTCACAGGCCTGCTTGTGGTAGAGCATGTGGCGAAACCAACCTCGCCACTGTACACTGGAGAAGCCTGGTTGCTCGCCTGCTGCCTTTGGACTATGGCCCCATGTTAAAAGACATCTTTTTTCCCTGCAGAAAAGACTTATTGGTGCTTTTCTGCCGAATGAATAGACCACCTGGGAGCTGGAGTGTGCCGGCAATAAACCTCCATGAAGCTGCGGTTAACCGCAGCTTAATTGACGAATGCTGGATGGCCGCCATTCGTATCACGAACACGAGGTCGCGGCCCTTTTAAACATGCAAATGCACAGCGGTGTTCGACGCTTAATTCATGGAACTGAAATCGGACACAGTTTTGCACGAACACTGCTGAAGCCGCCATCCTCCCTTCTTGTTCGGTGAAAGTGCACGAACGGCCCGGTGTTCGGTAGTTTTGTTTGAGTGTGTTGTGCCCCAGATAGGAATGCCATGGAGCCCATTCGCATGAAACTGACTGTGTAAAGACTTTGGCTCCATGGCGATTAAACTGTATTCTTGTGGTCTGAGCGCCATTCGCTTAATAATGTGCGCTCAGACCTGAGCTATCTGGGGATATGTAGAACAGATATGTTTTATGTACTGAATGTAACTGTAGGTAATTTTATGTCTTTTACTGTTTGTTTTCTGCCATGTGGTTAATGGAGTTTTGCCTCTGTCTTTGGAGATAATTGAATTACTTCCCAAATTATCTCCAGGGCAGAGAGGAGGGATTGTGATGCATTGTGGGATGGTTGAAATGTGTAAGTCTGTGATTGGTCCTTTTACCCTTTGTGTCCCAGTCTCCCACCAGGTGGGAGACCTGCATAAAAGCTGGGCAGTTAGCCCCAGTAAATGAGTTCCTGCTTAACCCTCAAAGTGAAGTGTTGTCTCATTATTGGGGGAGGACTTATTGTATGCTGTTCCAGTTTGACTGCTAGGAGAATAAACCTATTTGCATGTTTTTTCCTATTCGGCTGTTTCCAGTATTCGTGTGTTTGCAGTTCGGGAGAGTGGTGATTGCAGTAGCTATCTGTGCATCTGAAAAAAGGGGAATATCGCCTAAACAGTTTTTTAACCTCTTGTGGCAAAACGGTCCGTTACAGAGGAAGACGCTAGGGGAAAAACACGCTTCCTCTTAGTTATTGGGCTACTCCTACTACTAGTTGTGTTTTTAGTAGTAGTACTAGCCATAGTGCTCCCCCTAAAAAGCCCTGCTGGTTTCCCTTTAGCATAGAAAAGACTTGTGGTTCTGGGTCTTGCTGCACTACTGCCCGCTATTGGTGCCTTTCCTTGTCCAGAATCTTGCACCAACGGGCCTGAAATGCAAGACAAAGACTTTGGCTTCCTAGACGGTGAGTTAGGCATAGCGGCACTACTTGACTGCTTAAGCTGATGCATACGCTGCATACTCAAACTACAACTACTTGTGGTATTGGTGGTGGCTGACTGACCCGCCCTCACTTTACTAGTGGATGAATGTTTAGGAGGATCCATTTAGAATTTAAGAAAAGAAAAGAAAGAGATAATGTACTGTAGTGTTTTGAAAAAGTTTATATTTTTATGAAAATTTATTATTTGAAGTTTTGAACTATGCTGATATATAGATTAACACAGTTATAAAAAAAAAAAAAAAAGAGAGACTAGTACTGAGGCAGATTTCTTCACTCTAGTGCTTTCTGAGAAACTATGCAAAACTGCACTATCTGCCGTGAGCCATTTGCCAACAAGTGCTTCCTGTTCGACGACTGCAGAGTATGAAAAAAATTTATTATTATTAGAAAATGTTAAAGTGTTTTTAAAATGGGTTAACTAGAATTTAGATTACTATTATTTAAATTAGAAAGAACCTACAACTTCACTGCTGATGCTAATGTGAGCACAAAAAGAAAAAAATGACACTAAAAGTGTGAAAAATGTAAAACAAAAAATAGACTGTTTGACTGACTAGTGTGTTCTGTTCTAACAAAGCACAAATAAACTGTACTACAACAAATATTATACATTTTAAACTGAAGATAATTCTATCAATGTAATACATTTGTTTTAATTAAAACTGAAGATAATCCTATTAACATAATAAAAAAAAAAAAATATTGCTTAACTTTTACACTGACTGCCTGTAAAGCAAGCACACACAGTCAGTGAGTGAGTGACACAAAAATCAGTCGGTCAGTCACTGTGACTCTGTGCTAGTAGTTGTTTTACTAGCACAGATTAAACTAACTCTGTGTGAATTGGAGTATAGATTCACTTAATAAAATAGAAAAAAAAACAGTCAGACACACTTAGCTGAGACTGACAGAAAATTGTAGATTATACTAGCTTTAGTGTAACTATAATCTTAATTGTATTTATGACAGGAGGCAAATATTTGCTTAAGTCTCTCTTTACTAGAACTCCACAGCAGCACATTAACAGAGAAAAACAACCAATCAGAAAAAAGCAATAAAACCATAAAAGGCCCCACCCAACCAACTATTTCCTCTTTCAAGTTGCGACAAAAAAGTACATGAACAAAATAATTCAACAGTAGTATCATAAGAACTAAAACGAAGTCAGCCAACTCTAAATGAACGTGGAACAGTAGATAAAACCTGCTGTGAAAACATGAAGACCCAAAATCAATTCACAGACAGTACAATATTCCTAAAATCATACCTTGACTTCCCTCAGGAAGGCAAATAATAGACCTACCTAAACACAGTCTTGGAGAACAGACTATCAACTAGAGATAGTCAAATAAAATGAACAAAGAACCAGGGTAGGGTAAAAAACAGGGAAGGAAATATTCGCCTCCTGTCATTAATAAAATTAAGATTATAGTTACACTGATGAGTCGTGGGCAAAACGCGCGTCAGGGACTCTCAGGGACCTTGATTTATTAAGTGTTCTTGCATAGCAAGACCACTTAATGTTATCTCACATATATATTATTATTAAGTGTTCTTGCATAGCAAGACCACTTAATGTTATCTCACATATATATTATTAAGTGTTCTTGCAAGAACACTTATAGTTATCTCACATATATATTCTTATTCTTATTCATATTAGGTGTTCTAGCAAGAACACTTATTGTTATCTCACATATATATTATTCTTATTATAGCCAAATTTGCCACCCTAACTCCTCCCATACTATGCATCAAAATGTAGGTCTGGGTCTTGTGATTCTCACAATATAAAGCTCTTCACTGTAGGAGATATAGTTTTTAAGATACGACCGTTTGAAGATGGCAACCACCAAAATACTCTGACCTGTGTCAAGCTGCAGCAGCAAGTGATGTCATAGACAGGGCCTTTTGAACACCTGCTAATGTTTTTATAAATGTATTGTTTAATGTAACTGTGCAACTGTGCAACTATGTAAATGATAACAGTTACTCCGCCCACTCCAGTTGTAGACTACAGGTGGAGGCAAGAACACTTCACACAATTTCCCCTGAAATTGTAACTTTTCTAGTTCTTATTCTTATTCTTATTCTTATTATAGCCAAATTTGCCATCCTAACTCCTCCCACAGTTTTTACACTACATAGACAAAAATTTACCAAAACGTGCAGATTGTTCCCGATCGGATTGCTATTACTTTGTGGAACGTTTCGCCGAATGGTTCACGGAATATCGTCGTTCTTGTGGCGAAATTTGTCCCATAGGAATGAATGGCAAAGCTAGAGTGGGAGCTGGCAAAAGCTGAAAAATCAGGACATAATTTCTAAACTGCCACCACTCCCTTATTTTCAGGCCCACCTACACAAATCTTATATCAAAACGTTCAGCTATCCCTGCTGCCACTAAACATGTCAATGGCTAAGCCGTAGTCCTGATAGTTTTCACAATCTAATCATTTGTTTGCAACTAACGCCGTCCATTGACATTCATTGAAACTTCCCTCTACAAAGCTCAAATTTGAAGTGCAATTTCTAAACTGCGACTGTGCCTTCAATTTTAATACCTCAGAGACATACTATGCATCAAAATGTAGGTCTGGGTCTTGTGATTCTCACAATATAAAGCTCTTACTGTAGGAGTTATAGTTTTTAAGATACGACCGTTTGAAGATGGCAACCGCCAAAATACTCTGACCTGTGTCAAACTGCAGCAGCAAGTGATGTCATAGACAGGGCCTTTTGAACACCTGCTAATGTTTTTATAAATGTATGGTTTAATGTAACTGTGCAACAACGTTGCAATTAAATGTGCTATGTAAATGATAAGTTACTCCGCCCACTCCAGTTGTAGACTACAGGTGGAGGCAAGAACACTTCACACAATTTCCCCAGAAATTGTAACTTTTCTAGTTATTATTATTCTTATTATAGCAAAATTTGCCACCCTAACTCCTCCCACAGTTTTTACACTACATAGACAAAAATTTACCAAAACGTGCAGATTGTTCCCGATCGGATTGCTATTACTTTGTGGAACGTTTCGCCGAATGGTTCACGGAATATCGTCGTTTTTGTGGCGCAATTTGTCCCATAGGAATGAATGGCAAAGCTAGAGTGGGAGCTGCCAAAAGCTGAAAAATCAGGACATGATTTCTAAACTGCCACCACTCCCTTATTTTCAGGCCCACCTACACAAATCTTATATCAAAACGTTCAGCTATCCCTGCTGCCACTAAACATGTCAACGGCTAAGCCGTAGTCCTGATAGTTTTCACAATATGACCATTTGTTTGCAACCAACGCCGTCCATTGACATTCATTGAAACTTCACTCTGCAAAGCTCAAATTTGAAGTGCAATTTCTAAACTGCGACTGTGCCTTCAATTTTAAGACTTCAGAGACATACTATGCATCAAAATGTAGGTCTGGGTCTTGTGATTCTCACAATATAAAGCTCTTCACTGTAGGAGTTATAGTTTTTAAAATACGACTGTTTGAAGATGGCAACCGCCAAAATACTCTGACCTGTGTCAGGCTACAGCAGCAAGTGATGTCATAGACAGGGCCTTTTGAACACCTGCTAATGTTTTTATAAATATATGGTTTAATGTAACTGTGCAACAACGTTGCAATTAAATGTGCTATATAAATGATAACAGTTACTCCGCCCACTCCAGTTGTAGACTACAGGTGGAGGCAAACACTTCAGACAATTAAGTGTTCTTGCATAGCTTAAGACCACTTATTGTTATCTCACATATATATATTTAAGTGTTCTTGCATAGCAAGACTTCACTTAATGTTATCTCACATATATATTACATATTCTTATTATAGCAAAATTTGCCACCCTAACTCCTCCCACAGTTTTTACACTACATAGACAAAAATTTACCAAAACGTGCAGATTGTTCCCGATCGGATTGCTATTACTTTGTGGAACGTTTCGCCGAATGGTTCGCGGAATATCGTCGTTCTTGTGGCGAAATTTGTCCCATAGGAATGAATGGCAAAGCTAGAGTGGGAGCTGGCAAAAGCTGAAAAATCAGGACATGATTCCTAAACTGCCACCACTCCCTTATTTTCAGGCCCACCTACACAAATCTTATATCAAAACGTTCAGCTATCCCTGCTGCCACTAAACATGTCAACGGCTAAGCCGTAGTCCTGATAGTTTTCACAATATAATCATTTGTTTGCAACTAACGCCGTCCATTGACTTTCATTGAAACTTCACTCTGCAAAGCTCAAATTTGAAGTGCAATTTCTAAACTGCGACTGTGCCTTCAATTTTAATACTTCAGAGACATACTATGCATCAAAATGTAGGTCTGGGTCTTGTGATTCTCACAATATAAAGCTCTTCACTGTAGGAGTTATAGTTTTTAAGATACGACCGTTTGAAGATGGCAACCACCAAAATACTCTGACCTGTGTCAAGCTGCAGCAGCAAGTGATGTCATAGACAGGGCCTTTTGAACACCTGCTAATGTTTTTATAAATGTATGGTTTAATGTAACTGTGCAACAACGTTGCAATTAAATGTGCTATATAAATTATAACAGTTACTCATCACTCAGTTGTAGACTACTGGGTGAGCAAGAACACTTCACACAATTTCCCCAGAAATTGTAACTTTTCTAGTTATTATTATTATTATTATAGCAAAATTTGCCACCCTAACTCCTCCCACAGTTTTTACACTACATAGACAAAATTTACCAAAGCGTGCAGATTGTTCCCGATCGGATTGCTATTACTTTGTGGAACGTTTCGCCGAATGGTTCACGGAATATCGTCGTTCTTGTGGCGAAATTTGTCCCATAGGAATGAATGGCAAAGCTAGAGTGGGAGCTGGCAAAAGCTGAAAAATCAGGACATGATTTCTAAACTGCCACCACTCCCTTATTTTCAGGCCCACCTACACAAATCTTATATCAAAACGTTCAGCTATCCCTGCTGCCACTAAACATGTCAACGGCTAAGCCATAGTCCTGATAGTTTTCACAATATAATCATTTGTTTGCAACTAACGCCGTCCATTGACATTCATTGAAACTTCACTCTGCAAAGCTCAAATTTGAAGTGCAATTTCTAAACTGCGACTGTGCCTTCAATTTTAATACTTCAGAGACATACTATGCATCAAAATGTAGGTCTGGGTCTTGTGATTCTCACAATATAAAGCTCTTCACTGTAGGAGTTATAGTTTTTAAGCTACGACCGTTAGAATATGGCAACCGCCAAAATACTCTGACCTGTGTCAAGCTGCAGCAGCAAGTGATGTCATAGACAGGGCCTTTTGAACACCTGCTAATGTTTTTATAAGTGTATGGTTTAATGTAACTGTGCAACAACGTTGCAATTAAATGTGCTAAATAAAGTATAACAGTTACTCCGCCCACTCCAGTTGTAGACTACTGATGGAGGCAAGAACACTTCACACAATTTCACCAGATTGTAGCTTTTCTAGTATTATTATTATTATTATTATAGCAAAATTTGCCACCCTAACTCCTCCCACAGTTTTTACACTACATAGACAAAAATTTACCAAAACGTGCAGATTGTTCCCGATCGGATTGCTATTACTTTGTGGACCGTTTCGCCGAATGGTTCACGGAATATCGTCGTTCTTGTGGCGAAATTTGTCCCATAGAAATGAATGGCAAAGCTAGAGTGGGAGCTGGCAAAAGCTGAAAAATCAGGACATGATTTGTAAACTGCCACCACTCCCTTATTTTCAGGCCCACCTACACAAATCTTATATCAAAACGTTCAGCTATCCCTCCTGCCACTAAACATGTCAAAGGCTAAGCCATAGTCCTGATAGTTTTCACAATATAATCATTTGTTTGCAACTAACGCCGTCCATTGACTTTCATTGAAACTTCACTCTGCAAAGCTCAAATTTGAAGTGCAGTTTCTAAACTGCGACTGTGCCTTCACTTTTAATACTTCAGAGACATACTATGCATCAAAATGTAGGTCTGGGTCTTGTGATTCTCACAATATAAAGCTCTTCGCTGTAGGAGTTATAGCTTTTAAGATACGACCGTTTGAAGATGGCAACCGCCAAAATACTCTGACCTGTGTCAGGCTGCAGCAGCAAGTGATGTCATAGACAGGGCCTTTTGAACACCTGCCAATGTTTTTATAAATGTATGGTTTAATGTAACTGTGCAACAACGTTGCAATTAAATGTGCTA